TTTTATAAACATATAAAAGTCGAATAAAAAAGCGAATTAATTGTGGGAATATTAAGGGTAGACAATTAATTACAATAAGATCAATAAACTGATTTGCAACTTATTTAGAAATTGTAAAAGGTTTTCTGGAACAATACTCATGATTATATCAAAAATACATGTTTTCATAATTTCAAAATAATTTCAAAGAAAAAAAGACTAATTTGCGAACAACATAGCACCCTTACATTCTTTCCGAAGAATAGAGATTTTCAGGACCCATTGGTATGCATAGACATAAATCCATATCTGAATTATAACTTCCACAACCATTAACTGTCGATCCTACAGCGAACAACTCTATGGCCTGATAGGGGAATGCCTAGAATCGGTCTTATGCGTGAAGAATAACTGAATGATTCACAACTAGTACCGGTCGAAACTCTGTTAAGAGAATATTTCGCACTTCCATTTTCCATTGGTAGACTTCCTCGGTCTATAACAAAGATAAGGATGCTTTCAAGCAAACTTTACCATTAAAAAGCATCAAAACTTCGAAAACATATAAATCTGTTCACCTGTCTGTTTAATTCGTAATGCCTCCATATCTCATCATCTAGATTCTTGAATTCGCTGGGATAGTTCTCCCTAAAAGTACGACACATTCAGATAAGCGAGCATTATAGAAAACTAAGGCTAAAACAAAGTGAATATGGACGGGAATTAGAAGGTTACTTTCATAGCAAAAAAAAAGTTCCGCCTAAAGATATAGGATAGGACAATAAAACAAACCTGTATTGACGAATTAAACTAGGAAGAGGAGCTGCTGCTGGGTTAAAATGTACTCCTATCAAATCTCGCTCGAACGATAAAGATGAAGCCAAACCTAAAACATATTGTAGAGGCTTCTTCCCAAAATCTTCTGAAACTCGAAATGACACCATCGAGAGAGATGGGGTTGAGCGTCAGAGTATGCTGCAATGATAAAGCGGAGTTTTACGCTAATGTCAATAATGGCAAAAGACATTCATTTGGTCCATATATAAAAAAGCTTTTGGTTTTGATATGGACAGAAATGCTAATTATGGTAGGACGAAGCGAATTCTATGCTGTTCAGAACTATGCTTTAAAAAAGTCTGGGATTACATTTTCGTGTTCGTAATAAAACTCTAATCATCGCTATACAACTTTTGTTGGTAGATGACATTTGTAGCGCCTACAGCAAAAAAAAAGACTTGCACATAAGAAAATCTGTGATTTGGGACATGCTGAAGTTTGTTTCCATAATAAATAAGATTGTAAAAATGATAACATGATAAAGACGGCGGGCACCTTTGGAGATTTCTAGACCACCATTTTGGCAAGAGGCGTTGGGAAGAGACGAGCCGGAGCTACTAGAGATATTCAAACAGGGTTTCGCGTCTTCTATCTGAAACAAACTAGCAAAATTTCAAATTTTAAAATTAATGCTGGAAAATTAGCTTCTAACAATGAAATTGGCGAAAATTTCAGAAGTTGAATGTCCAGCATCAATTTTAAATAATAATGATTTTTTGGTCTTTCCATGCATATATGTAAATCATTTTTTTGAAATTATATTGCGATATAAACAAAATATTTCATCATCCACAGTCTTCAATCCAATAAGCAAATTATCGGAGATTAGTCACTAGGAATTGAAAATTAGAACTATTTAATTGAGCTCCTTAACTTTTTTAGAATTGAATCTAATAAACATAGGAGCAAATTATTTCGATACTCTTATCATTCAAAAATAGTTTATATAAATCATGTAAAGATGAGACAATACTAATGAAATCGAATAATGTATGAACACTTACCCGAGAAGAGAAAGAAGATGACGCTTCACATCCATTTTCCACTACTCCATCATCATTACTTAAGCAAACGATACTTGGAGATGACGAGGCTGTAATCCATATACAAAATTTGGCAGCCTCGGCTACGCGATTCAATAATAACAAATAAAACAAAAGAAAGCAAAGCCACGTTTTGCAGAGATTAATTCGATTCGTACTCTCATATTTTTAACTTTC